GGGAAAGTGAGTACATATAGACGGTAAAAATATGCGGATGTATACGGCCTTGTAGATATGCATTCGTACGTAGACGAACAGCATCGAGTACTGAATAATTCAAAAGTGTAATTTAGGTTGATACTATCTGGATTTATCATATGTTTTTACATAATGCTCGTATACAAATGTGAGAACAACAAAAATATCAAGTTGTGCAGACAGTGATGTATGCATTTCATTTTAAGATAAAGACAGACACATCTGTGCAATAACGAGACGGCCATTTCTATTTAATATAGAGATTTACGAGCAGAAGTGTAATATGTGTTGGTATTCGACATCAACGTATCAAAGACATCCTGAACGTCAAAGAAATATAATTGTGCTTTCATATATGCCCGCATTCAAGACACTCGTGGCTGAAGCTTTATTGAAGGTGCGCTTGCTGATAAAATACATGAATACTTTTAAAATACAAAAATTCTTGCTAATGACGCAATGATACTTCCGAACCTTGTATAAATGTATAAATACATAAATACATACAAACAATGCAGAAATACTTCCTAATCTTACAAAAATACATCATATAATGAATTTGTAAATAATTTCTATTCATGAGAATACTCCTAATAATCCATAATTACGTCCTGACAATACAGTGCCAATCTTCCCCGATAATGCAGTATGTAACTATTTCCTATAACATGTCAATATTTCTAGTAATTAAACGTGCTTCCTAGTCATAACACTTGAATATTTCCTAATGATAAATACAAGAAAGCTAATAATGAATAACAACTTCTCAATAATGCAAGAGTAATATATGGAGCGAAAACACGGGAATGACAAAATTCGCTGTTGTGCCTTTCTGCCGTAGTTGCCATGTTGTTTCTATAACTTATGACACCACCTGTTACCTTAGAGAATATGCCAACTGGCATCTTAAGATTGGATATTACATATGATATGCAAAACACAATATTCAATGCTGAATACTTCTCTTTTGAAAAGGCAGATACGTGTGAGAGTGCGCGATTGTATATGTGCGTGTAAAAAAACAATTTTGAATAAATATATCATTGTGTACCAGGGCATATGCACAAGTCACAACTTGTACATATGCCCTGGTACACAATGATATATTTATTCAAACACATGTCACAACTCACAACACATAAAAACATATTAAATATCAAGAGATTTAAAAAAGCATAAATATCTATAAAAAAAGAAAAATTTAAAAAATGCTCAGGAATCCGGCGGGAGGGTTGTAAAAAATTCTAAATCTGATGCCATCATCGATTTATATGAAGCCAGCGGGAATGTGTATTTTATAATAGTAAAAATAGATAGAATAAAAAGAGCACTGAAGGTCTGAGACCTGTCACCTGTGTGACCTGTGGCATATTTCTATTTTTTTATTTTTGTTTACCGTATATTGTCGAATAATAATAATAATGTATTTGATGACTATGTGTACAATATCTACGCTTTTTTTTAACTCAAAATATTACTTATATAGCAATAGATCAGTGTAAATAAATAGAATTTTTATAAGACCTGTGTAGTACATACAGTGTATATATGCAAACATATCCTATTGCCACATCCTATATGGGTTAAGAAGCACTTAGTATAGGCATCATGGTGTTCTCAGGGTGGATGTCTATAGGGTTTGCACCCTGGACTGAGCGGCCAGGGGGTATCTCTGTAGGTGAACCAGTTGAAGGGTCAACTAGATACGAGAGCTTGGCCTTAGAGGATGCACAGAACACAATCTTGACGGCGGTTGCTCAGCGGACGCCTAAAGATAAGCAACAAGGTCTGTGGGCATTCTTAGATATGTCTTATCTGTTGCGCGATTTAAATTATAATAACAGAATAGTTAGATGTGTGCCAGCAAAAGGCAGAACCATGCCGACATTATGTATACATGTCTTCAATTGGTGTTAATGTCACCTTTAAGTATATATACGAGCATAATTTTTAACAATATGTATATGTATGCAGATACAAAGAAATTTTTATGTGTACTGTTATTATATATATTTTAATTATAACTTTTCTTATTTGTATTTTTAGATTTATTGTATATCTATCAATTATCTATCTATCAATTTATATATATATATATATATATATATGTATGTATGTATGTATGTATATATATATACATATATATATATATGTGTGTGTGTGTGTGTGTGTGTGTAGTGTGTGTGTGTGT